GCCAAGGGAAGGACTAGACCGAGAAAGCAGCTGGGCTCTTCTACTGGTCTGTCCATGGCCCAATCGTGGAATGGAGGTCCAACATTACTTATTGGACGCGTCTAGCGAGCACGCATTGTCCTGCTAGCGTTCCCGAGCGGCCAGCTAAAATAGGAAAGCACCGCCCATCCCACGCCACCCATGGTACAAGTCACGCGCCCTCCACCAACCACGCGGTCCCGAGTCCTTCCTTCCTACAGCTGACCTAGGACTCAAGATGGCAATGGGGCCCGAAACCCGCATCCCCGTGGGTTTTTACCCTATTAGGGGACGGGGATGAGCGACTTTCTATCCCCGCAGGATTGCTCGTGGATACAGTATAAAACCCCGCATGTTTCGCGGGTTTAAACCCGTTTGAGTACTACCCGAACCCGGAACCCGACAATCCCTCCACCCCCAACTGCTCCATGACATCTTCCCCACGAAAGAAACTCCCATCGCTAGGCTTGCCATGGCTGCTGAAACGAGCTGAGATTCATGCCCATTCAAAAGAGAAAAAAAGAGAGAAAAAGAGTAGGAAGACATACCAGGAAACACCAGAAGGAGGGAAAGGTTGGAATTCATTGAATTTCTTCCTCTTTCACTTCCCCTTCACCTCCCCACCAGACGTTGTTTACCCATGGCTTTGCCATCTTCAAGAAACACATGATTTGTGAGAAAAAAATTCCTCCCCTTTCACTTCCCCTTCACCTCCCCTCCTGTGATATAAAGAAATAGACAAGAAACACAGGATTTGTGGGGGGGAGGAAGTTCTAATATCTGTGAATTTTTTGTTGTTTTCGTGCAACTCTTCCAGAAGCATCAACCAACTTTTGCCACACTGTGTGCAACAGGAAAAATCATGCGCATAGAGTAGAAACAACCATCCAACAACCATATATGAGGTCTTTTTGTTCACACACTACAGTGAGATATGACCAAAAATCTTTCCTACTTATAAAGGTTTGAGTTGGTCTCCTTTCCTCTCTTACAAGTAGGACACACTTTTTGCAAAAAAAAAAGTAGGACACACTGTAGCCAAAATAAAAATAAATCATACCAGCGACCTCCTTTCCACATGGAGATTTTAAAATAAAATTTTTGCATCTCTTCCACACCATTCCATCTGCCGCTACTCTTACCCAATCCTCGAGTGCATGATGGGCGATAGTATACAAAGCGTGTTGTCATTCACCCATTTAAAAACGTGTCATTACAGTGTAAGGTATGTTCATAGCAAAAATTCCAGCAATCCATGAGTAAAGTGACAGGCAGACAGTCCCAGAACTAAGAATAGCTCTGGCTGCAGCAAGCAAAGGGAAATAAAGTTTTATTCTACCAGAAGTTTAAATGTAATGAGCCAACTAACATGATGCATTCATCTAAATCAGACAAGCCTGTGGAAATTCTTTACTAGACATGGCTACCCATTAAGAATGTATTCATTACAATCACAAGGTTGTCTAAAATGAATTTCTGTGCAAGTGCTGACAACTGGCATCTTATAGCATGTAAACAGCTGAACCTTTTTTACTTTCGGAAGTACTGTTTGATCCCTATTTCGAAAACACAGAACTACAGATATAAGACAGAGCAAGACAGCTGCTGGTTGCAAATCTATAACAAAGGGAAAATGGGATCCTAATCTTGTATGAAAATACTTTAGGCCAAACTCCACAACCTTAGCAGCCACTACTATGTCAGAAATCATCACTACAAATTGTAGCCGTACAAAAAATTGCAAGCCCGACAAGGCCAATGATTTTTCACTGGATCCCAACCCAGCATTTCAACAAGACACATGGTCTATCTGAACCTGGTAAATAAACAGTGCTCTGTACTGAACAAGGGATGCATGAACTCAGGAACCAGCGCAATGCTCACAGCAATTTTTACAGAGCAATCAGACAGAACTGGGCGGAATTTAAAGGGCAACTAGTTGAAAGGCTTACAAGTTCTGAACTAACTGTTCACTAATTAGCACATATGGTTCTTGCTTTCCACATAGCTAGTCAAATCATTCATAATTCTCCATAAAGGATGCAATGCCCAAACAAGATAGGACCAACGTACATCGCATCCTTGTGAGAACAGGACTACACATAAAACTACTAGCACCACTGTACTAGTATTAGATAGCATGCAGGGTAGTTAGTAAGTTTCTGGGCGGATGGTTGCAAATGACATGCATGACTGAAACCTCATGTTCATGCCCTAGACTTTCTTTTCCCAAGTAGACTAGGAGCAACCTTGGACTTGAGGAGATCCTTAATAACACCGGGGCAGCTCTTGGTTAAAAACTCGAAACCTTCAGACTCGATGGCTGCATCCAGATTGTTCGGCGAGCTGAGGAACACCAAGCATGCCACCTTAAGCTCATGGCAGTGGTGCTGCTCCGCCAATGCCAAGATAGTCGCCACGGAGCTCGTATCGATACAATTGCACAACTTATCTTCACAAATCAGCTTCAGCCTCTCCAAAGCATACCTGTCTGCGGCAACAAGCAAATGCTGAGCCATGGCAGATTCCTCCTGTTGATCCATAGCGGGCAGTGCATCCGTGTAGATAAAAGTAAGCAGAGCGTTGAACACTTCTGCCTTAATGTCATGTATGCGTATGGCCCCAGTAGTGGCTCCCTCCTTCATCAGTCCAAAGAGCTCTGCTCTGAAGACCGGAGACCGTGCCGCGAGAACCAACCGGTGCGCCGAGAATGTCTCCCCACCGACAACGAATTCGACATCCACACTGGCCTTGCTCGATAGGAGATCGCCAAAGTGCAGGTGCATGTCAGACGGTGGCACCAGGACGGACGGTGTCTGCTGCGTGTGGCACTCGCTCATGATAGTGACATCGAGCTTGATGGTGAAGGAATCGTCCTTGAGATGCTCTGATTCCTCCAATTCAACCCTTTTCATAAATCTAGGACATCCCACACATTTATCCACGGAAAAGTCTATGGTCTTGGAGGTCTTGGTATAAGACGGCACTGGCTTCCCATGTTGATCGAGTAAGCTGAACTTGAATTTTGCATTCAGGGTCTCGGCCTTGTCGACGGTATCATCCCAGGCAAGAAAGAGGCCTATGTAATCAATGTACTCGGACCCTTGCCCATTGGGATAGTACTCCACATGCCATGTGCGGCCTCCCACCTGGAACGGGCAAGAGTCGATCCACTTGCCATTGGGGACCTCCTTGGTGCCCGAGTAGCCGACGATCTTCAGCAAGTGGTAGCCGCTCACGACCCCGGATATGATGGAGGATGCGGATCCGGGGGGGAGGCCGTCGCCGCCGACATGCGAGGAGGTCGGCATGGTGTACAGAGTGGTCGGTTAGGACGGTCACTGGCCGGGAGGGGGCGGGGGCGGGGGCGGCGGCGGCGGCGGCGCGGGGAGGAGAGGGGAGGGGATGGCGGCGAGGGTTTTGGTTGGTGTATCGGTGAAGCCAGGGAAAGACCAGTCTATCGGTGAAGCAGCTGGACTCTTCTGCGATACCGCTGGTCTGTCCGTGGCCCAATCGTTGGTGTCCCATGGAGATAAATGGACTCCTCAACATTGTTTTATTTATTGAGGTTCAATTTCTCTCAAGAAAAAATTTCTTGAGGTTCATTTGTTCAAATTTATCATTCCGAGGGTACATCGATTTGTTCAATTTGGTATTTGAAACCGTCGTTATTTTTCTTATATGCACTGTTGAGGAAATGGAAAATGTTCGACAATGCTCGTCCACATTTTCTTTGCATCACTGATTTGGTTCTGATTTTTACATAGATGATTAGTTGCTTCCACATTTTCTTTTGCTTCAATGGAAAATATTCATATGGAGTCGTGGATTAAATAAATTCGACATAATCAAGCAGATTCATTAACAATTCATGGATCAAAATGGAAAATATATTATCCGTCCCTCTTGAAAATATTCATAATAACATGAGTGTAAGTGTTTGGTTTGAGTCCACCAAGTCAACTTTTATTGTACTTTTTGTGAATGGTTTGCAAGGAGATTGCAACTTCATCCGATTGGTTTCAAGGCCTCACGGAATTCACTCATTTCCAGCTTTCATGCATCAAACCTTGAGTCACCCCCCCCCCCACCACCACCACCACCACACACACACACCTCCCGAACTCAGTAGATTCTTTCCTCGGTAAAAAACACAATAAGGTCTTGAACACTGACGAACTAAGGCTCACATATACAAAGATGATTGGTTTATCTCTTGAGAACATCAAGCTATGCCCCCTGCGGCCGTGGAATGTGCAAATGCAGAGGGATAGTAGTCCACATTTGGTTACTCCTAATAACTGATTATAGGAGCCTCCCAATAATGTTTTGGGAGTTGTGTGAGATGTGATTCTAGCAGATCTCCAATACCACCATTCTAATGATTTTATGTATAGCCAATGGCAAAAAAAATCATCCGACATTGACTCTTTTGGAAAATATTTTGAGTTTCATATGCCTTTTTCCATCTTCACTTGGTCACCCACCAAGTTATTTCTTGTACTTTTTGTGAGTTTTGAGCTTTACAAGATTTGCTTTCCTTAAGGGGGGAGGGTTGCAAGGAGATGGCAACTTAATGTGATTGGTTTGAAGGCCTCGGGGAATTCAAGGGCCTCGCTTACATCCTTTGTGCATCATCATCGGCACTCTGCCTCCCCACCTATGATTAATTTCTTAAACATGGTACAGAGAGATATGCATACAATTTGAGCTCAACATAAATCACATGGTTTAATATATTCTTCCCTCGGTATAAATCAGAATAGGATCTTGACCACCGATGAGCTAGCCACTAAGAGTCAGCCTCATGAGCCTATGTTGTGCCTTCTTTGCCCCCAAACCTTAACCCCGACCCATCTTTGTAAATACTAAAACTTCAAACAAGGGGTTTCGGACTATTGGCATTGTTTGTGGTAGAGGACGTGCTAGGTGACCATACACAAGATCCACCTGAACCTGACGAAGACAACCTGTGCACTGTCTCCAAACAAGCTGTCAATGGATCTACTGGCCCGGGTATGAAGCAGCTTCACGCATGGATCCAAAGGCTGAGAGATGTCATTACTGGTGGACTCCGGCAGCTCATCTTGTTTTGTGGATCATCGTATGGCTGCTAAACTATCAAGAGTTTGCAAATTGCCCAAAGCTTGCAAAGTCAAAGTGGCAGATAGGGCATTGTTGCACTGTGACAGCTTCATCCCCCAGTGTCCATGGACACCTCACGGCTATGAATTTATCACCGATTTCAAGCTCATATCATTGGGAGTATATGACGCTATTCTGGGAATGGATTGGCTCAAGAAGCATAGCCCCATGCATATCGACTGGGAAGCACAACATATGACAGTCACCACTGATCAAGGTTCGGTGGAAATGCAAGCAGTGTCCAGCGACTAGCTCCAGTGTTCTGCGATTTCTTCCCAGAAACTTTTGTCAGCCTGCAAGCAAGGATCAGTGGCTTATGTGGTCCACCTGAATGCTGTGAGTGAATCAGGGGTGCGGAGGAACCAATCCCAGTAGAAATCCGCATAGTCTTGTGTAACACCCCGAGAATCATGCTACAGTAATCCCCTTCTAATGATGCCTTGTCATCATTGTTATTGTTGCTAATCTTCACTTGATCCAAATCACCGATTCAAATTCAAATCCAATCTAAAGTCAAAAACTCTTATTTGTCTGACAGGAGATCTAAAATGTTCATCTTGTGGCGAATAGTCATTTGTTAATATTGGTGGTGAGCTAACATTTTTTGCAAAATGTCTAAATGGCCTAAAATAGCTATAACCGAAAGTTGTTAAAAGTAAAGGCAAAAGTTTTTTTTAAAGGGAAA